TTATTTTATTCGTATAATATAAGGCATAAAAGGTATTTTATAGTCTAATATATATAATAATATACTATATTTACTATTATAAAGTCTTATACTAGGTATTATATATCTTATTATATTACGTTTTCTATATATTAGTTTATATTATTATATAAGTAAGTTATTAGATAAATACTAAGTCTAAGACTAATAATAAAGTATATTTATAGTCTTTATATAATATATAGTATATCTAAAAGACTATTTATAATAAGACTCTTATAAGTAATAAAGTACTAAAGGTAGACTTAAATAATTAGAGTATTATATTTTTAAAGACCTTAATATATTAAACTATAAGGTTATAAGGAAGTATCTACTTTATATTTCCAGTTAAAGATTATTAGAATAATATATTATTAACAACTAGTAATTAGCATTACGATTAAATTAATTTAAATAGTTAATTTATATCCCCGGTTTAGTGAATTAGTTAATTCTCTAATATTAATTAGCGTAGTATTAGTCCGGTTCCAGACGAATAGAAATTCAGGAAAAATAAAAAAAAGATTATAGCTATATTTTTAAAGAAAAGCATAAGCTACTAACTAACGCCTATAACAGGAACCGAACGTATAACGTCTAACTATAATAGTTAGTAGTATACTATTATAATATATGGCCTATAGCTTATAATTATATAATATATATCGTATTCCTATATACCTTTATAATAACTACTATAGTGATTAGTATAATAGTTTCTATCTAGGAGCTAATAATAGTAGTAGAAAACTATTCAATCTATAGTATCTGCCTCGTATATTAATCTAAAGTATCTACTATCCTCCTTAATATATAGTTTACTACCCTTTTCTGCTACCTTAATTACCTATTATTAGCCTTACGGTATTTAAAGCCCGTCCCCCTATACCTCTTAAGTTATAGTTTAATAAATATAGATCTAATATCCCGCCTATTATAATATAGCATAATGGGCAATTTATTTATACCGATTAAGTTTATATAAAGAGATCTAAAGAAAGGACTTACTAGATTAAGAACTATAGAATATTCGTTAATAAGGTTTATTATAATACTTCGGATGAGAACTACTCTTGGGTTTACTACTATTATAATTAACGAGGTAGTTTAGTAAGGCTATATAAGGCCTTATCTATAAGACTACCTCTATAATAGGTATTCTATACTCCTATCCAACGATTCTAGTACGGCTATAGGCTCTATTGATTCTAATAGTCTATAAAATATATAATAACCTTCTAGGATAATTACTATCTCGAGGAGCTCAGCCTTTTAAGTCTCCTAAGCCTCTTAATTAATATCTATCTAGGGAGGTTATATACAGAATAGCTACGAGGCTTTAGTAATTAGTTTAAGGATATATTTTAGACTCTTTATAATAACTGTATAGTAAAAGCTAACGATTATTATACTAACCTAAAAGACTTATTTCTCTATACTACAGCTATAATACTATACCCGAGGCTTAGCCTTACTTAGTTAGAAGAGTATTAGACTATAGAATACTAATTACCTTAGTTAGTAATACTAAAAAAGAGCCTACTAAGTACTAAAAGACGTAGAATCGCTACTAGTAACCTATAAAGCGGGGTAATAATAACTATAGCAGTTTAGGTAGCGATAGTAATGCTAGAAGATAATAGCTACTATATATAATAGATTTCAGATAGCGCTAAGTGCGTACCGGCTAATAAAGACTCGGAGGTTAAGAGATATCTACGCATAGATATCTAAGGCGTTAAGAACCTAATCAAGTAGTAGTTATATTAATAAAAGGCCTTCCTATCGCTTAGTTAGCTAGCTTATAATATCTTTATACTACTAGCGATAGTAATAGACTATAAAAGGACGTTTAGCCTAGTAAAGCTAGCTTTAATAAGCTAGCAATAAAGGATATTACTAATAATGCTTAAAGCTATTAAGAGCCTAAAGATCTAGCTCTATTGAGGTCTAGTTACTATAAGTAGTTTAGGAGTAATAGTAGTATAAATAAGAGTATTATAATCTAATAGGTAATATATATTCTATAACTAGCCTTACTCTTAGATATTTACTAACAGGGATAGCTATATTAATTTAATTAATTAATTACTAATTAGTTAATTTCACGGCGTCGAAACTAATAATAAGTTAATTATATACCCTTAATTCGATTTAAATAATCGAATAGTAATAAGACTAGTAAAACTAAGATATTTAAGTATATTATATTAATAGCTTTATTCTATATATATTAAGAATATTTCCTAGGCCTAAACCTATATTTGATATAATAGTACTTAACCTAAATAGTACTAAGAGAGGCTAATAACCCTATTATACCTACTATTTATATTAATTAGACTAATAGCTAGACTAATAGGAGTAAACTTCTTTAAATACTAAAGGATATAGTATATAACTTAGAACGAGTATAGTAAGAGTAAGACGCTTTTTATAATAGTATAAAATATAGCAGCTATATAGCCTTAGTTTAATAGTTTTATACTTTTTAGAGTCTT